ACATAGAATGTTCTTGACCTATTAAGCTATCCTTTCAGACCTTAGGAGAGGTCTTAAGTCATAAAAATGGGATCTAAGTGGTTGGTTTTGCTCCTTTCATTGTTTAAAGGGTCTTAATGTATCAAGATGTGGAGTTAGCTCTTAACGCACATGCAAAGTCATAAAGTTGGAAACTTTATGACTCTAGAGGGTATTTTAGCCTTTTATTTGAAATTTGGATGTAAGGACTTATGGCATTAAGCAATTAATGAAGTTTGGGGCGATCTAGATGTACACCTTGTACAATTTAAGTATACAACACGTACATGGTCAATGCCTCCCGATGGCGGTCAAATATGGAGTACACTGTGCGTACCCTAGGAGTACGCCCCGTGTATGTCTTCTGTGCCAACTCAGCTGAGTTGACTCGCCTGGGTTAACTTTCCTGACTTATGGATTTTTTAGCAGCTTGACCTTGGACCTTGACTTTTATTGACTTTGTTAACTTCTGAGTAAGTTTGAATTTAGGTCAAAATTGAGGGTTTGGATTGGTGATTAAGATTATATATGGTTCTGATGTTAGTGGATCCATGGGATCATGTGGTGTAGTAGGGAACGAATCACAGTATTATCGGGTTTCTTCATTTCAAGTAAGTTTCGCCTCATTGTACCCGATATTTCCATAATTATAGATATTTTAGGCGATATTTTATACAACTTGATTAATATTTTGGTTATTTGCGAAGATTTGTGGTACTTATGAGCTTGAATTATATTTTGAATCCAAAAGGAACAACCTTGAAGATAAAGGAACAAATGCGACAAGAATTGGAACTTTGAGGGTTGGAGCTTAAAAAGAGAAAAATCTAGTTGAAAAGTCAATATCACGACATAAGGAATCACTTCTCATGACATGAGCATCAACATTCTAGAAGATTAACATTCGGAATTCAGAGTCTGTGTTTGATACATATTACAACCAGGCTCACAACGTGAGATGCCTTACCTTACGACGTGAGCAACATATACACAAAACTATATATAATACTTTGCACTTATGATTGGAGAGTTTTTTCGTAGACTTGGAGGGTTTACTAAGAGATTTCTTGAGGAAATTTAATCCGAGAAACCGAGTCTAAACATTGAAGGAAGGTGAATTTATTAAGGATCTAGAGATCGAAGATTGTAATCATCACTTTAGTTTGGTACATTTAATCATACCTTTATTTATTACATTTGTGTTTGTTTTATCAGCCATGAGTAGTTGAATTTAGCTTCTTCTGTTTAGCTCCATTAAGCTCAACTTTATGGTTTAGTTATTTGATTTATGAATTTGAATAGTTGGTTATGTGCTTGTGTTTGATTATTAATACCTAGCATGCTGATATTTGATACATTGATTGCTTGAATTCATGTTCTGTGTAGCTTAGTGACTATTAAATTACATGAACTTGACACCGAGTGATTTAGTGAACATTAAATTGCTAGAGCTAGGATCGAACCAATCTTAGATAAGTAAAAGTAATTGAATCTAGCTGTGTTGGAGAACATAAATGATGACCATAATTGTGTTTGTTAAATAAATCTTACATAGCCCAACTCATAATCCATAACTGATTATGTGTATGATTGTGTGTGACTACGCATAGTTTTACATGAGGTAGTGAAACATTTGTAAACTTGGACTTAAATTACTAATAATATAAATTTTGGTAACCAACTTTAATAAGCCATAATTAGTAGCTAACCATAAAGGAGAAGTGTATTCGAAGTAAACGAAACTATTTTTCGTAATTGATTGAATCGTTTTTAAGTGATTAAGTTTGTCAGAACTTGCAAAATCGGATAAAAATCAATTAAACTTTTTCTTAAATTCTAGGTTAAGTTAATAGTAATTAGGTAAATTAATTAAATTTGTTCTATGTGTTCGATACCCTACTGTTTGTGCTATACTATTTGCGAAAAGGTCCACTACCTTTAGTCGAATAGCTACTTAGACAGTTGATAAAATTAGGTGTAATAATATTTCGACATTAAATCTTTTGATCTGTTGCTAGGGAGCGACTAATTTAGTTTGTGATATATTTGCTTTAGGTTAATCGATCATTTTTGTGGGGTTAAACTGTAACGCCCGTAGATCTGGGCTAGTCAATTTAGATATAATACGGGTCGAAAATGACTTTTTGACAAAAGATTATTTAGAATAAATAATCTTAACGAAGTTGTAGAATATGTCTCAAGGGTTCCGTACATATAAATAGCGCTGAAATCCGAGTTATAACGAAGAAGTTATGACCCGTCGAAGTTTAGCGACGGAACCGGCACGACACCGCGAAGACGTAAATAGTGAATTTATGATAGAGCTTCTTTTAGCCACAGTAATCTAAATGAAATTTGTAGAATATGTTAACCTGAGAGCATCCATAAAAAGAACGCCCAAATCTGACTTCTTATGAGGAAGTTATGATTTTTCGAAGTTTCGGTTTAGCGGTGTACAACTCGAAGTTCGAGTATTAGATCGAGCGGTTTTTAGCCGACACAACCTAAATGAGAATTTAAGATCTCATTATTAGTAGCGTAACGATAAAAAGATAGACAAAAATGAACATCGGATAAAGAAGCTATGAGATTTTAACGAACCAATCCTTTCCTGGCCTGTTAAAAATATAACTTTAAAAATAAAGTTAAAATTCGCCAATGGAGTCTAAACGAAAGTTGTAGAGTACGTCTCCACCTACGTGTAGATATAAAGAACGTCAAAAACGAAGTTCGTATTAACAAGTTACAAATTATAATAGCATATTTACGTATTAACACTACAAGAAAAATTGCCTTTAATGACGCGCAAACAATGACACTGGTTGATTCATGTTATGTATTTTTGGGCGTCCTTAAAAATAATGTCAGACTTTCAAAATTTGAAGGATAGTGGACACGCATTTTTGCATGCCCTTAAATTAGTTTCTGAAGAAAAAAATTAAAAACACAGAGGGCGTTTTTATGTTAAACGTGCGTCTTCTGTGGATGTCGCTTTATAATTTTAAGTAAACGCGCCTTGAGATGATAACGGGGGAAAACGAAACCCTAAAATTTTGAAAACCCGCCTTTCTTTTCTACATTCTTTTATTCATATTCACAATCGACACTCCCCTTTTGTTTCTCTATTTTGATGGTTGTTTCCCTCTTGCCCTAATCACGTCGTCGCCGCGAATCACACACCGCCAGACAGTGGAAGAAGATGATGAAGTTTGTCATTGTCGTATGCCGCCCTCCCTCACTGTCTCTAACTATCTCTGCCCTTTCTTTATTCTTCGCTTCTATGATGTCAGCCTCCTATTCACCCCTCTAAAGCCTTACTTGTAAGTCCACACCACGCTTGTTCTTATCTTGTTATGGAAAATCAAGAAACATTCAAAAAACCTTAGGGTTTCGCTCTGAGGCCTCATTTCTTCTTATTAGTTCGGATTTCTTCTTTGCTGAGGGGACAGATTGACGAGACATGTGAGAATTCTGAGATCACTCCATGCTCCCTGTGTGACTGTGTGAGGATACAAAGATTAATGGCTGCGACAGGGGTTAGCAAAGCTCCTTATTTCTTTTCTACCAGGTATAATAAATGTTGGGTCAAGTCTCCTCATCCTTTCACAAATCTTCTTTAAAGGAATATTCTTTATGTGCGTTCGATTGTTCCTTGTTTAGTGCTTTTTAAAGCTTATTGTTGCTAAGATCTATTGGAGATTTATTAGTTTCTAAAAGGTCACGCTCAGATTTGAGGATATTGTTATTGCAACAACAAGAAGAGCACTCACCTGAAGAACAAAGTTTTTAGAGATCTCTTCTGAGTTTATTTCTTCCTCATGATTTCTGTCATAATTTGGATCATGTTAATTTTATTGAATTAAGGACAATGGGTAGACTACAGTTCATCTAGCAGATCATGGTCAACTATAAATCTTAATTAAAAAACTTGAATTATGACTTTCAGGTGCAGTAATTCAAGTTTATAGAGTCAATATGGTTTAATTTATAAACAGCTACACTTGTTTCCCCAAATTAATGAAAAATGGGGGTATGAAATAGTTTTGGTTCTTGAATTGGTCGGAGGAATTCATGTTTCCCCACATTAGAAATAGTTTTGGTTCTTCAAAAATGGGGGTAATATATATTATAGTTTGTAGATTTGAACTATTTCATACCTAAAAAGCTATCTATTCATGTTGATTATTCTGATATTGTTTTAGAATGATGTTAATAATCTATCTATTTATTTGTAATGCAAGTTATAATCTATGTGTTATTTGTTGATAAATCATTGATTATATGTATCCGTTTAATCTCTCTTTACTACACATGTTTAAGCTACTAATATCCCCAATCGTGTTTGAGTTATGTGCTTCCAATCTGGCATAGATCTATATATGAACTTCAAATTTCAGAAGTCGGATTTAAATTGTATATCATATGGCATGTAAGAAATGTGATACTAATAAATACTTTTCCATTTTGACAAAGGAACACCAACACTTGCCAATAAGATCAAAGAAGCTCTTGAAGGGAACAATGACATGGCAAAGATAGAAGCCATGAAAAAAGCTGTCATGCTTTTACTTAATGGTGAAACACCACCACATAGAAGCTTTGAAGCCATGAAGCATGACATCACAATGATGCTATTGAAGCCAGCTCTTGCTAGAGGTGAATTGTAGGCAAGTGAAATCTAATGCAAGGGTTATAGACATTTTTTTTAATTTATTTATGATATCTTTATCCCAAACTTGTAGTGTATTGGTGCATTAGAAGAAGATACATCAGAAGAATTAGTTGTTTAACCTGTAGTTCCAATATCATCTGATAATAATAATAAGCAAAATAAGGCGCCGATGACATCCCAGCAACAGGGAGTGCATGTAAAGAAAAATAATAATAATCAGAAAGTTGCGACTGTAGGTGTGAGCCAGAAGAGTGAAGTTACAAGCGAAACGAATGTAATGCATGACTAAAACCCGTCTGATTGGTGGTTTATGCATGAATATCCTCCACCGCCACCACCAAGTGTTGTGAAAGATGAAGGTGGTGGTGGTAATAGAGGAAAGAAACCAACAACATCATATAACAAGAGTCATAGCAGAAGCACAGTGGTAATGCCAATGGCAGTAAAAATAATCAAGATGAAGCCGAGGTAATAACAGAGAGGCCTACTTCTACAAAACAGAATCGTTCTACTCATTGGCAACCAAAACCTCAAGCTTAAGCAGCGACATATAAATGTTAATGTCGTGGTGAGGAACATCATCATGGTGGTGAAGAGGGTAGAAGATAGAGAAACCAAGAGGAGGAGGAGTACGGATTCATTCCCCAAATAATAACACGGAAGATGAAGCCCCTCCATTTGAGCAGTAGCAACAACCAGGTTTTAGGAAGTATGGGCAAAACAACCGTGGTGGTGGTGGTGGGCGGCAACATAATAGCAATAATAACGCAAACATAAACCAGGAAAAGCCGAGGCAAAATCTGCATTATGAGTATCAGCCAGTCGGATGAAACAAACTGGATCCACGTACAGCTGCAGCTGCAGCTGCAACTGATGGGTCTGGGAATGCAATGGGTCAGAGGTACAAAGAGAGGAGTTTAGGTCAATCAAGACAGGGTGATGGTGGGGGTAACTTTTATGGGCGGAAAATAGTGGTGGTGATTGTACAGAAGAAAAGAGAAGTCAGATTATGTTTACTTTTTTTTTTTTTTTGGGGGGGGGGTGGTGGGGGTCAGAAAATTGGTGGGTGATGTGAAGGTATGAATGGGGGTTTATATTTTAGTGGTTTAATAATATCATTTTATAAATTTTTTATCGGTATGGTATGTCAGGTAGGCAATATCTTCTACAATTCCTTATCCTATTTACATGTGTTTTTTTCTCCCATTAATTGTATTCTGTTTATATGATGTCTGAATAATACTTGAGAAAATGAGTGCACACTTAGGGAAATGGAATGACAAACTATTAGAGGGTAAATTTGTAAAACATAATACTTAATGGTATTTATCTGATTATTTCTATTATGTTGTCCTTTTTGCATTAATAAAAAAACACCGTATAGCTTACTTGAATGAGGGCTTGCTTCTTGTATACATGTTTAAGCCAAAAGAGAAATTTAAGGAAAAGAGGTTTTAAAATATTATTTATCTTAACAGGAAAAAAGTAACACAAATGTTGTTGTGTATGTAGAGAGGTATTTGCAGCCACTTGTTGATACCCCTGGAGATGTATGTACTTTTTTAACACTCACCCTAGAATAAGAGTCCACTTTTTTACTATTATTTTTTTTACTGTTTCCATATTAGGTATTCCAACTGAGGAAGCTTCTTCCTACATCTCTGCCTTACAACATCAACGTTCATGTAAGCTATAGTTTATATTTTAAAAAGATTTTAGTTTATAGTTTTGATGTGTTTGACTAATAATCAAATATTAAAATGCGTATTCTAAATTCTGAAATTTGTAATCAGGCAGATCATGGACTTCCAACCTGGAAAATTTCTTAATGTAAAAGTATGTCATTACATTACTTATTAAAATGTGTTTATTTAAATCAACAGTCTTGAAAAAAATAAAAACTATAATAGTTTTTTGTTGTTGCAGGAAGTCCATTATAATCAACATGGTTTGTTACTTCTAGAAGGACAAGGCATTTATTGTCTGGGTGATAGCTGGTAAGTTTCATGGCGAAAGACACAATTTTTTCACTTTTGATAAATGCAACGATTGCACTTTCATGATAGATTTACTGTATCCTGCACTAATGTAATGTGCTTTCATTTTCATCTTAAACAGACTGAAGACATCACTGCCCTCTTGAGTCTTAAGAAAATGCAAAACCCTACAGTGACACTGTTACCTTCAGGTTTACCAATCCAATCTACACTTCACATTTCCTAGTAACTGATTCACTAGGATCCATCAAAGGCTCTATCTTTCTGTTGAAGAGAACCGTCCCTTTTGATTACTGATAAATTGATGGTCATTCATATTTTCTTTATCTATCCCCTCAAAATGAATTGTATCTCAATTATTGCAATTTCAAACTGAGAAGAAGCATTCAGATTTTCTGGATGTCTTAAGCGAGACACACAACAAAGCCTCAGATCAAAAGATCCAGATTGGTGCTGATCTAGGTGATGGTTACACAAAGCACATTTTTAGAGGCTAGATGCAAGTAGTCTCTCGCTTTCTCTATCTCCCTTTTTTTAAATAAATTTGGTTCTCATTGCTGGCTTCCGAATAGCTTTTCTTAATCCTTGTAATTATACATTTATTTTTTTTCTATCAGATGTGCATCCTCAGTTCAGTCCTGGATAAGTGCCTAAGGCTGCTTGGTTTTGAGTCGGCAGCACCTTGCGATACCTCTTGCAAACTCAGGTATGTAGCTTTATTATTCTGAATAGCTCTTGTTTTCTAGTATTAGAAGATCATATGTCTTGATTTCATGCATAACAATAGAGAGATATTGCAGCATCTTTATAGAGCTATGTAGCATTATAATCCTTCAAATGTGATGGAAACATATGATGTCCAGTGGATAAGCAAAGAAAACTCTTAATCCCAATGATGTCAATAATCTTCCAGAAACTAAAAATCTTCATTGTTTGTACAATGCATGATGTGTTTGCATCCGATGCTATATTATTTAGATGCTTTAACTTTCATTAATTGGTTTGAATGTTGGTGTTTAGTAATTAAACTCAATTTATTCCTCTTTTTATTAACAAATTTTATTTATTCATGATCTTCAGCTATCTTCTGTATGTGGGCGGCTTGTAATTTCAAGTGTTGGAGTCTGGGATGCTCTTTCCACTGAATCAGCTCTGGAATGCAGTCGTGGATTGGCTACGGAATCAGCAGCAGCACAAATTGTCAAAGTACGGAAACAAAAAAATGTCAAATTTGTAATAAAATATTATGCAATGGATTCTATTTTTGTATGACATTAAATTTTATGAAATGGATGATATTTTTTTATATATGATATTTTATTTTCTATTATGATGCATTAAATGCAAATTTAATTTGAAAATTAGTAAATCTATAAAAAAAATAATTTTTTAAACATTTAAAATTATGATACGCAAAAATGTGTGTCATCTTCATTTATGACATGGCCTTTCTTGACAGGGGCTTTCACGATATGCATTGCGTGTCATTAACACGAGCGTCGTAAGGTTACGACACGCGAATGCGTGTTGTCTTCCTTTATGACAGGGCCTTCCTTGATACACATTGCGTGTCGTAAAGGTGCGTCGTAACTGCGCGTCGTAAATGAGCGTCGTAAATGCGCGTCGTCTCTCTTTATGACAGGGCCTTCCTTGACGCGCATTTGCGCGTCGTCTGAGCCATTTACGACGTGCAATGAGCATCGTAAAAGGTTGTTTTTCTAGTAGTGTAAAATAAAGTATAAATCATATATACGTACACATATATATATACATATGTATATATCATTTGAAAGGTATCGACAATGCTGTCATTATAAGACTAATGTTGAGTTCTTTCGACATTAGTTTAGTACAAATATCGTTAAATCTATTTAAAATAGTATTATAAAGGGGTGTTTTGTTGTTTATATAACTATAAGGTCATTAATATGGAGGGTAGTTTTTGTAAATTCAATTACTATAAATAAGAGTCTTGGACTCTCATATTTCTTGCACTATTCTCTTGATTCAAGAGTCTTTCTCTCCTTATCCCCTGAGCATTTCGGTCCTTCGTGATTCGACTTCTCTTTCTGTAGTTTTTAGTATAGTAAGGTGAGCGCTGAAGCGCTGCACGAATCTTTCTTAGAAAGATTCAACGATGAAGTTCTTCCCCTGCAGAGCCCGACCCCTAGCTAAAATCCCCTTGTAAGTAAGTTATGCTTACCCTATTTTAAGTATAGTTTATATTTAAAATTAATATTGTTATTATAAATTTATAATAAAGATTTGAGCTATTATTATGACTTATATAAGTGTCGTTATAATATCTTTTTAACTACTCGCGGTATGGGGAACCTGGTTTAAAGGGCCATATAGGGTTGTTGGATTTCAGAAGTGCTATACGCCAAAATGGTCCTGCCCTTCGGTGTTTTATGTCTGGCCCCTATCTGTACATAGTGGTTGCAAAGTATTGTTTAAACGCTTATATAATAATAATAATAATAAGACTAATAATTAGTCACAATAAATATTAGACTAAAATCTAGTGGTAATAATACTAGGTTTCGTCGAAGGAAATTATTTTAAAGTAAACAAGGCGCTGTCCGAGTACCGAGTCACCACCTTCTCAGGTGAGTGCATAGTTACTTTCATCTTACACATAGATATGAAGTATTTTATATAAATTACGTGCTATGTGTGCATATTATCTGAATACTTGCTATCTATGCTGGATGAACGATATAATACATGTTTTAAATGATTTAAACTGTATATGTATTTTATATCTACGATAATGTTGGGGTAAAACATGGGTAGATGTAATAGATGGAATATAAGTTTGTTGATGAGTTGAGAGGTGTTATAGACCACGAGGTGAGGGTGAGAGGTGGACGATGTGAGAAGCCTTTTCCCAAACGATGGCCACATCATTCAGCAGAGTATGGATGACAACCACAGATTATTCTAGACAGTCCAGTGGAACACTAGTAGGCTCGCAACCTGTAGGTGTTGTGAATGATGTGTTCACCCGGTGTACTCTAAACCTTGGCGACCATGAAGACTTGGTGCCTAAACCTTGGCGATCATGCAGACTTGATTCCTAAACCCTGGCGACTATGTAGACTTAGTGCCCGTTGTGTAAACCTTGGCGATCATGCAGACTTGATGCCTAACCCTTGGCGACTATGAAGACTTAGTTCCTGTTTTGTAAACCGTGGCAACGATGGACTTCGTGTCGATTCCTTAGGATGATCCTAAGGAATAAATGAACGAGGAATAGCTGATTCTTAGGGTAGATCCTTAAGAATAAAGAAGATAATGGGGATGGGTAATTGGGTTGATTGCTTAATTGTTTAAACATAATAATTATATTATTGTGGGTTGAAAACCCTATGTACTCACCAGGTTTCCCGACCTGACCCACTCAGTTTATTTATATCACAGGTGTTGTTATGAAGTCACATTATACTGAGAGATTAAGGAGATATAAATCACTAGTGATAATGAATGTAAGTTCTTTTATGCTTATGTTTCTGTATTGACGATGGCATCCTAAATGTTTTAAAATGAATAAAAATACTTTTCTTCGGAAATGCTTTGATAACGTATTTATCATGTTTTTTTGGGAACAAATTCCGCAACATTTTTATTAAAAGAGACACTCTGATTATCATAAATCATAAACAAAATCGGTTTTCTAGCCATGAAAATGGGGATGTCACAGTTGGTATCTAAGCATTAGTTTAAGCGAACTAGGGATTTGTAGGAAATTTCTAAACTTAAACTTAGAATGCTAAGCAATGATTGTGAGATGAGTGTCTGCTATAATTTAGACACGAGCACTATTTTATTTTAGGAAAGATGCCTAAAATGTTTTATGTGCGAAACGATTTATGTTATAGCTATAAAGATGACTTATATGTTGTTATTTATTTGGATCAATGGTCTGTTACCGACCGGATCTGGAAACCTTATGTGTTCAGGATTCTAAGCGTATGATTACGATATTAGAACTAGCATGTAACGTTTCGGTGTGACAAGGAGATTTATATGTCTATCGTAAATAAAATCTTTCATATCTTAAATTCTCATCTCGGTACACCGAACGTCTGCTTGGGTGTACAAAACAAGAGGAAGATTACAACTTGAGCCTGAGAATGTGATGGGTCATACATCGGTCGTTACGCCTGCACCCGAACCTATCACGATGACAGAAGTTCAGAAAGTAATGTGAACCATGATAGACTGGGAAAATTGAGGAAATGAGACGGCTTACGATACTGAATGATACCTGTCGGAAGATAACATAAGAGAGGTATCTTGCGTTTAGAATACGTATGATAAAATAGCAGTACGTCTATAGAAGTAGGGTACATCTAAATGTACACATTTGATTGGCGGGATGATAGAACGATTGGTTTAATTCCTAAAGTTTTCCTATCATCTGGAATGTGCATCACCAACCGAGTTGAAGCAGAATTGATGATTTAAGATATGCATGGAAGAAGTCCTAGTAGAGTCTAAGGAAATTTTTATGATTATTTGGACACACTTGTATATCATAAATTGGTTTGTGATTTTCGGACTTGGGGACTACGAGATAATACTTGGGACAAGTATGAGTCAGTGTGAATGGTAGTAGATGCATATACTACCGGAAGCACATGACTCACGCTTGGATCGGGGAAAGTCACAAGGTTACCAAGAAGCTAGTAATTGATTCCGTTTTGTTCATGTATGTCGTTACCATCATTTCGGTAATGACTAACAAGATGATTGTTATTCCGAACCTAGTGGTCATATTAATTTGAGTCTGACTATACTGAGTATGTTATGCGGTTCAGAGAATCAAGTTCGATGTAGCGTCTGACTTAAGACGAAAGATTGATATAAAAAGCGATCAATAGAGGTATCACGAAAGGTTTCTTGTAGCTAGAAATGCAACCTTTTAAGATGTGGTTAGAACATGAAGGAAGGTATAGTCGGTTCTGGAATTTGACTCTAAAAGACCTGAGTCCAAGCATTGCATCATGCGATGGGAGGTCATTATAACATGACCCATCGGTCTATTATGATAATCGAAGGAAGAAAGTTATCTCAAGTTTTTTAAAGAAGGAGTCTCCAATAAAGATCGAGATCGCCATGAAGATAATGATTTGGAAGTCTAACATGAGATAGAGAGTAGGTCCAAGATCGGGCACCACCTGCAGTCAGGAAGTCTTAGAGTTAGATACTCAATCGAAGAAA